TCTGGTTCTGTTAATCTTCATCGCAAGCCATAGCAGTGCTTAACCACAACTCCGATCCAATCTCACTGTTATATGCCATTTACTATTTCACTGATTGTCTCTATATATCTATAAACTTGTTTTCAATACATTTTAACGCTAATTATTGTTTGACTTCTTCTCTATTCCGGTCTCACTATTGAAACCCAAAATATCAATTATATTAGCGTTTAGTTCATAGATATTGTAATGACTCAAAAGAGCACTATTTTGCGATATCTGTTTGCAATAACAATTGAAGAGCATATGAATTGGGGGTAATATTTAAGCAAAACTGTTTACATGAGATCTGCATATAATAGAGTAGAGAAACTGTTATTATTTATATATACAGACAATTGTTTGCTTTTCTGTTGAACTTTTTTCATAGCCATTCAATTTGACAAAACGCATCGTTAGTTCCCAATGTATTCAATGACTCTCCAAATGCCTTCAATGCCTCCAATGACCACATTTTCTCCCAAACTATTCTTTTCACTCAAAACCGTGAGGAGGAGATGCGGAGCAAACCTTATGTGCCATCGATTGCCACAACAGCGCCGACGTTAAGGATGAAACACTCTCCACATACTCTCTCCACTCGCTCTCCTCTCTCTCTCTCTCTCTTGTGACAAAGGATGAAAAATATCTCTATAAATACTGATATTGATTGTAAAAATACATAATTTGACAACAATTTGTCGGCGAGTGTTGTGTTGCAAAGGTTTGCTATTAAACTAAATGATCGACACTTTTGTGCTAAAAGCTATTAAACAAACTCATAAAATACTACCAAAGCATGCATTCATTCAATCCATTACATCGCGAACTCACACATACACTACACATACAAACACTGATAGAGTACAGCCTTTTTTGCATCACATCTTTCTGACACACAAAACACATTCACACAAACAGAGCACACATTTCGACAAATGAATTGAAAAGTGGGCTTAAAATGAGCGGATAAATAGCCGAAGCGGACGATCGGCCGAAACACTTACCATACAATTTGATTTTGCCGTTTTGCTCGACTAACACAATCACATAACCCCCGAGATCTACCATTTTGGCGGCTGTTTTGGTGTTGACTGTGTTATCACTGCTCCACTGCTGCTTCTGTCGAGGATTTGCTGCCTTTTGGTGATGAGGACGCCGTGAGGAGGAGATGCGGAGCAAACCTTATGTGCCATCGATTGCCACAACAGCGCCGACGTTAAGGATGAAACACTCACTCTCTATACTCTCTCCACATACTCTCTCCACTCGCTCTCCTCCCTCTCCCTATCTGTCTCTGTCTCTCTCCGCACACAATCTTATGCCTAAACAAACACTTCTTCTCTTCACTGGACTCTTAAAGCATTGAACAGTATTTTCATATTTCAGATGAAATAAATATGAAGTGTTTTTTATATTTTTATTTGCAATCTGTTTAAGATTACACTTACGGTTCAGCGCATAGTTATCCTGTCAAAGGGTTAGCGCTACTTATTCTCTCTCTCTCTCTCTCTCTCTCTCATCCATTTCTTAATATCAATCTTTGATATATGTGTCAAACATAGTATATAGAAGTCAAACACTAAAACAAAACTAATATTAGAGCGAGAATTCAATATTTATTTTAAGCGACAGAATAAAAAAAACTCGGACTAAAAAAAGTTTACCAAATATTGCAATAGATTTTTGATGGCAACAAAAATCTTACAAAAAAGCATCTGTCGCTTAACAGTTGGAAAAAGGCGTTTACAAGTATTGCAACTTATATTTTGTTTCGGTGTTTATCTTATATGTGAGCCAAACACACAAATCAATCGTTAAAACAATGTTTTTCTGTCAAAAAAAAACAATTTAATCAAATGTTTTAAAGTTTTTGAAAATATTCAGTAAAACCATAAATTGATTTGAGAGGCGATAGGAGTTTACACTGCAATGCAATGCACAGCACATCTCAGACTCCGTACACAACAACACAACACAAACCGATTGTAAACAAAGTTTTGTTGTGTTTTAAAAGCAGTCATTGTTTTGGACTTTAAATAGTAATTCACACAAAAGATTATCAAATCATTT